ACTTTTGAATTGGATTTTGCCAGTTCGCACAGTAAAAATTCAGTTGGAAAGTGCATTGAAAGTGGATTATTTAGCTTGTGGGACCGCAGCCATAGTTATTGTAAGGCTCAAATGGAAGAAGAGTAATATATACCATCCTGAGCATCTTATTAATAATACTTTCCATTTATTAATCGCTTTCCCCAGTGGGCTCAAAGCGATGTACAGTTACTCCATATACAGACAAGAGACTAACAATGTTCGTAGGGGATAGGGAAGACAACAACATATATTGACTTTAATTGCACGCGCCGTCACTGCCCGGTGTAGACATCTTCTGGCTGGCTCCATCATTTTCCAGCATGGCTGCTTGCTGGCCAGGCCTCAGGACCCGTATGTCAATCGCCACACTGCCACCGCCTGGCCGGAACATCCACTGCAGGCATTCTTTTTCGTAGCCGGGAAGCTGTTTTGCCTTTTACAAGCCTTGACCAGGCGTCCGACCGTCAGCTAACGCCCTCCCAGAGGGGAGGTTGGCGTGCCCACCCTCGCTAAGGAGTGGTTCCCATTTTATCTACTCGCCGAAGCTTTCGAATCGCTGAGTGGACGATGAGCTGGGGACAACAGGCTGGCTGCTCACACCAGCGCGGGGCTTGAACTAACACAGTTCAGATGTTAAGACAGTGGGATATACCCACTGTGCCACCGCTCCCCTTGAAGAGGGGAGGGATAAAAAAAATATGACTGACCAAGATAGAACCTCAAAAAGGCAAAGCAAAGAATTATACTGAGGTTAGATCTCCTGTCTGCAACTTAGAAGGCAAACTTGAAATATGAAAATATAGACTCACATTTCTACACATCCTTTTCTCCACTCTCAGATTATTAGATGCAAAGGTGAACACAGAACTAGTTTTCCAGCTATGTGTCTGTCCCCTTCCTCGCTAGGTGCCAAACTGCAAATCATGGTAAGCATCTGCCAGCTTGACTTATGCTGGCAAGACAGCGGCACCTGTCAAAATTCCTTCTTCTAGATGGCTATTCAAGGTACGGAAGCCCTGACCAGCATTGTATCTGGTCACCAAATGCAGCTGGGGCTCTAGAAATGTTTATTTCAGTAATCTCTGCCCCACTCTCTCCACCAAAAGCACTCAAGATGGCTTGCAGACCATTTTTTAAAAAATGTAAATTATAATCACACGAGACATTTTTTAAAAAGCACCTCTGCTTTCCTGCCTCCCTGATCAGAGTGCACAAAGGTATGTTCTGCTTTACTGTCCCCTTCCCTAGTCTTTCATGAAGCCTCTCATGTAATACAGAACTGGGCCCTTCAGTTAGCTGGTTAGCTCATGCATAGATGATAACAATACATCATCCAGGGCCTTCCTTAGCAAAGGAAAGCTGTGGGACCTTTGGAGGTATGGGAAAGGATTGCTAGATTCTGCCACCCCCTAGTGGCCTTGCTGTGGTATCACCGAAAGACAACAGACAGGAGGATGCATAAGGGTGCTATAAAGATAAAGAATACTTAATGGTGAGAACAGGGAGCTTTTTCAACAAGCAGCCTACAGGGAAAGATCTCATATCAGGAAGGCAGAGTAACAATTAATACATAATTAAGTTTGCCCTCACTCTGGTGAAAAAAATCCTTATTTATTTAATGCATATTTGCCATCACGGAGCACAAATAAGTGTACGCAGGGTTCAGGCACTGATCAGACCCAGGCCAGCTTAGCTTCAGCAAGGTTCAGCATCATGTGTCTTCCGACCATAGCTTGGCACCATACCCTTCTTTTGATTTAGTCCTCTTGTAGGTATTTCACTTGAGTCCATGGAAGTAGATTTCTTAAACTGGCCTTCATAGGGGTCTCCAATGTAGTGCCTTTTGGCATCGTGTAGAGTTGCCAGCTCTGGATTCAGAAATTCTTGGAGATTTTGGGGGTGGAGCCTGAGGAGGACAGGGTTGGGCGAGGGGAGGGACTTCAATGGGGTATAATGCCATAGAGTATACCTTCCAAAGCAGCCATTTTCTCCAGGTGAACGGGTCTCTGTCGCCTGGAGATCAATTGTAATCCCAGGAGATCTCCAGACACCACCTGGAGGTTGGCAAGCCTAGCATCATGGTGCCCTCCAACACTTTTTCTGGTGCTGCCCACCAAGTGTTTTTAAAAAGTAGGTGAGGTCAGGTGCAAGAGACACGTGGAAGAGGTAGGGCCTGGGCCCATGGTTGTCCAAGAGGTAGTGACAGGAGGACGCCAGGCACGCTGGGGGCGGGGCCACGGCCATACAAGGGAAAACCATAGAGTTTTCCCTTGTATGGCCATGGCCCCGCCCCCAGAGTGCCCAGTGTGCCCGCATCACTTCCGGGTGACGCGCACATCGGGGTGGAGTTCCCCCTGGGGCCCGATCCGGCGCCGCCAGGGAATGGGCCTCTGGGGCGGGGGTTTCCCTGCCCCCCGGGGGGACTTGGGATCCCTACCCAGGGTGACTTACATAAAATATAAAACACATAAATAACAGTTATAAGATAATAAAATCTTCTAAAACCATACAATATTATAATATTATAAAGTGCTAGCAAGATCTATAGTTGGTGTTGCTTGAGGATAATGGTGACAGTCATATTGATATATTGGGTGATCTGTCTTATTGCTCTTTCCATACATATGCAGCGAGCACAGACTGTAGGTGGAGAAACCAGGGCCTTCAGGGCTCTATATCTTCAGTTGTTGTTGGCAGCAGCTGGTGGAAGAGCTTTGACTTGTAGGCCCTGCAGAACTGTAAAAGGTCCTTCAGGGCCCTGATCTCTTCTGGGAGCTCATTCCGCCGGTATGGAGCCACCACTGAAAAGGCCCTGGCCCTGGTTATGGCCAGTCTGGCGTCTTTGGGACCCGGGAGGGCCAGTAAATTTTGGGACCCTGAATGCAGTGCTCTCTGGGGAACATATGGGGAAAGGTGGTCCCCTTAGGTATGTTGGTCCCTGACCATAAAGAAGAAGAAGAGATTGAATTTATATCCCGCCCTTCACTTGGAGTCTCAGAGCAGCTTACAAACTCCTATCCCTTCCCCTCCCCACAAAAGACACCCTGTGAGGTAGGCAGGGTTGAGAGACCTCTTTCCAGAACTGTCCTTGAGAGAACAGCTCTGACAGAACTATGGCTTGCCCAAGGTCATCCAGCAGCTGCAAGTGGAGGAGTGGGGAATCAAACCTGGTTCTTCCACATTACAGTCCGCGCACTTAACCACTACACCAAAACTTTAAAGGTGAGAAACCAGCACCTTGAAGCAGACTCTGTATGCTATTGGCAGCCAGTACAATGTCATCAGCGCAGGCTGGATGTGCTCCCACAAAGATAGACCCATCAGGAGCCTGGCCGCAGCATTTTGCACCAGCTGCAGCTTCTGGATTTGCAACAAAGCAGCCCCACGTAGAGAGCATTACAGTAGTCCAATCTTGAGGTGACCATTGCATGGATCACTGTTGTCAAGTCATTGCGGTTGAGGAAGGGAACCAACTGCCTAATCAGCCGAAGGTGGTAGAAGTCTGACCTGGCAGTGGCTGCTATCAGGGCCTCCATTGTTAAGGAGGCGTCCAAGAGCACTCCCAAACTCCTAACTTCCAACGCTGGCACCAGCAGTGCCCCATTGAAGGTTGGAAGCGGGATCCCTCCCCTCAGACCGCCCCGGCTCAGGCACAGGACTTCCATCTTTGTCAGATTCAATTTCATTTGGCTCAGTCTAAACCATCCAGCCACGGCTTGTAGCACCCAGTTTAGATCTTCTGCTTTGGAGTCAGACTGGCCACCCAACAGCAGATAGAGCTGTGTGTCATCCGCATACTGGTGACATCCCAGCCCATGCCTCCAGGCAATCTGGGCAAGGGGGCGCATATAGATGTTAAAGAGCATCGGGGAGAGCACCACCCCTTGGGGCACTCCACAATTCAGTGGGTGCCTTTGGGACAGCTGTTCCCCTAGTACCACCCTTTGTCCCCAACCTTGGAGAAAGGAGGCAAGCCATTGCAAGGCAGACCCCTGAACTCCCATGTCAGCGAGGCGGTGGATCAGTACCTGATAATGTGATAATGTCCTAAGAGACTTTTCTCTTCCTTCTGCCAAAAAAAGTACAACCAGGGTAGTAAATTCATCTAAGGGTACATTTTAGGGCATTTTTTAAAACTTCAGGTTCTTGGCAACCCTATGGACTCAAGAACTGAAAAATGAACCATGAGAAACAGCATGATATAGCAGTTAGTACATGAGACCTGAGTTCAAAATCCCCACTCAGCCATGAACCTCACTAGGGTTCTTTCCGCATTTGCCTGCCACTCCGGAGTCCACAGCAAAACAGCATCCAAACAATCCTGCGCAACAGCAGCCTGAAACTGGGCTGACCACTGAAGGGAGGTAATGTAATGCAGAATGGGGAAAAAAACTGGAGTAAGAAGAAGGCTGAACTCGATTTTAGTGCAGAATTGCTTGGAGGACACTGCGGTTGGATTGAAAGGAGAGTGCAGAAGGGGCCAGTGCGATCTTGGGCTAGTCACTCTCTCGTTAACATCCCTCTCTTGGAATTATTGAAAAGGCAAAATAGAAGAGGCAGACTTGGAATATGAAAAGAGACACTCAGGAATCAGTAGCATTTTGTTCTACTTTTATTTTTTCTAAAAAAAAAACCCAAAACCACACAAATTTTGTTAGCATTATTTACATAATCAAACGGAGAAATCAAGGCAGTACAGGTAGACCTCCCTGGCAATTCTAGAGCCACTCCCAGTTCTGCAGATTGAGGTAGGTGGCACAGTGGAAGAAATGTGACACAGAATGGCCAGGTATCTTCAGCCAGAAAGCCCTCTAGATCTGGCATGGGGCAGGGGAGCACTTCTGCTGGAATGAAATCCGGTGGTATAACTGGTAGCCAAGATCCACCTGCGGGTAGGTTCTTTGGCCTACCCTTTGTTGAGCAAATGGGGTAACCCTTCAGTGCTTTTAAAACACAAAAAGGCTTATGTTCTCTGGTGGTGTTTGTTTTTTCATTTTTTCTGGCCCCTGAAGGATAACAACTAGTGCTGCTCTTTTCAAACCCTCTTGAGTGCTGGCCTGTGCCTGTCCCTCCTTCACCATATCAACAACCTGTATCCCTAAGAGGTATCTGCTGGGCCTGAGTAGAAGCCAGCCTCCCACAGAAGAATTCCGAGGACCTTCCTACAAGATCAGAGACACTTCTGAGGGCCGTTCCACATACTGTATAGAAGCAAACATGAGTTAGCCACCACATGTGCGTTCATGAGGGAGCCACTGTCAGTGGAAGCTATCTGATGATGATAACCCTGTTTCAAAACCAAACTAGACCAGATTGTGGTAGATCTGTGAGTCAGTGATTGCGATGGGAGAGAGGAGTGTGTGTCTAATCCTTTCCCCACATGTTAGGTAGCACATAGGAGCCCATAGCCTCCAAGTACATTTTCAAGAGGAGAGAACTAAAATTTTAAAATTGTTCCTCATTAGTTGGGCAGCACAACTGCCGCACAACTAAAAAAAAATCCCTAAAACTAAACAAAAACATAAGATGATACAGTGACTAATGGAATGTAACTGGGGAGGGATAGAGGAGCTGAGGTGCTCGACACTGAAATGATGTCACAAATTATACTTGGTAGATGCGTATTATGAATAACTCTAGTTTCATAAACCTATAATTGGACTATATGGACTGGGAATTGTATCACATTCTCTCTCTTTTATCAACACAAAGTGCAAAACAAATGTCCATCTTTGCGCTTCAAATGGAGTAAAATGCACATGATCATGCATAAAAGCCCTAAGAAAACAAAGCAAAATGACTCAGGGGCTTATTGACTGCTACAACACAGCATGTATGAAAAATAAAAATGCGGAAAGAGCCAACCTCCACTTTGTGAGAAAACAATTCCAAGGGAATGCCAACCTAAACTCTGAAATGAAAAGGACTGTTCTGTACAGTTTTCTGTGCCAGTCACCCAGTCAATCCTAGCCCACTTTCACCGGATGAGAGGTGCTGATCGGTCATTGGTCACCGTTGGGCGCAGCTTTACAGTGGCAAAAGGGTTAGTGCCCCTAGAAAGAGACAAAGGAGAAAACTAAACCTCTGGAAACATTGTAGAGCAAGCCACATCACAACATAAAAGGTATCAGGCACTGACACATGCTAAACATAATCCTCATGGATGCAACTAACACAATAAGCCACATATCAGCTACTGTTGCCAGTGTCTGGCCTTTGTGGGGCTCCCGTGCCTATTTTGACCCTGTGGCAGGGAGATACCTCAAGCCTACTCTTGCTGCACTGTGACAGAAGAAGTGGCACCTTCCAAATATCTCTGGTCTTAATACCGTGTAGTTTTTAAAGGCCGGAGAATGGCCTAAGGATGGGAGATGATGTTACACTGCTGAAGGTAAGCAAGCAGGCTTTATGCTGGTCACTGTTCCTCTGGGAGACTGCCAGAAAGCTGTTCTGATAGCTCCTTTTTAAAATATATATAATAAACAAATCAAGCAATATAAGTGGCCCAGAGACGGATTTTAAATCTGTTTGAATCTTGTCTTCGCCATGAATACATTAGGTATTTTCAGGTAAGTCACTTTCTCTCAAGCCCCACCCCATAATTTGGAGATACTTGACTCATTTTCCAGGGTCATTGTAAGAATTACAACATGAAAATATATGTGACGCCCTGACTTGGATAGTCCAGGCAAGCCCAATCTCGTCAGATCTCGGAAGCTAAGCAGGGCCAACCCTGGCAAGTACTTGGAAGGGTGACCTCCAAGGAATACCAGAGGTGGGACGCAGAGGCAGGCAATATCAAGCCACTTCTCTGAATGTCCAAACCCCCCTAAGGGTCACCAGAAGTCAATCATGGCACGCACGTACACACACACACACCCAAAAAAGAAAAGGAAAATAAATGGGAAGTCATTTTTCTAAAAGTTCTCTCTAAATGTTCAGTGTCATGTTATATACTGGAATTAACAAGTTTAGGACACTTTTAGAAATTATGACAAGAATATCTTTGCATTTATAATACAGGCTCTTAAAAGCCTGTGGAATATGGCTACTGTGGCATGTAATGCTTGAAAATAGCCATTTTTAGTTCAGTTCAAATGACAGGCAAGTGTCAGATATAGTCAAATGGTGAACAGACATGGTCTTATACCTTTTTTCTATGAATAGGCACTGCCTTTAAGATAGGCATTTTAAGACACCAAATGTCACCTTTATAATATGGCCTTTGGACTCTCCTCCTAGGGATGTGTTCTCTCCTACGCTAAAAAAATGTTGTGTATATATTCATATGAGAATGAAAACAGTAACCTTTGAACAAGCACAATACAGGGTGTGAGGCATCATATAGACATGGGAAATACAAAAAGCAGGTGTCTTTTGGATACACGTCTTTAATATATGCTAGGAGCATATGGAAAAACGGCTTCAAAAGGACGGCTTCAAAAGGGAATTAGATAAGCATATGGAGCAGAGGTCCATCAGTGGCTATTAGCCACAAGGTATAGATACCACAAGGTATAGGCTCTGGGGCAAGTGATGCTCTGTCTTCTTAGTGCTTGAGGGGGTCAACAGTGGGAGGGCTTCTAGTGTCCTGGCCCCACTGCTGGACCTCCTGATGGCACTGGTATTTCTGGCCACTGTGTGACACAGAGTGTTGGACGGGATGGGCCTTTGGCCTGATCCAACATTGGCGTCTCTTATGTTCTTATGATAATCATGTTGTCATCCCAGACTAGCATAGAGGCAAAACTTACCTGGGGAACAGTTCTGGTGGATGCTCCCTTCCTGTTGGCTTCTACAATCAAACAAAAACATGGTGAAGGGCTAAGAAAGAATAGCTTCTGTATTTAACAGAGACAAAACAGGAAAGGCAGAGACATGCCAGATCACACACTCGTATACTTAGATGGCATCTGTATCACTGACCTCCCAGCAAGATTATGCCACATCCAGCACATACGCAGCCTAGAAGATCTTTACCATGCTATGTCCCTGCCTTCACTGGCAGTGTCGTCAGATTGTGTCCAGTGTGGATATAACATCAGAATTGACAAATCAGTGATTCTGGCATGGAGTTCTCTCTCTCCACAGCATTTCTGGTCATATGTGAATATTACACTACCTCTTCCCCGCACTTAACAGTAACCCAGACAGGGCTTCAGAATGATATGTATGAACACTCAGATACTACTAATCCTCAGCTGCAAACAGCACTCAAATGTCAGATCTTCTGTCAGAGAGGCTTGCTCTCAGCCTCCTTCAATACCAGTCTTTATCTGACACCTGCAGGTAACCACTTGAACCACTCCACTAACCATCCATCATTACCACACAGACCTTTGTTTCTTTCATCTCTCACCCAGGACGATGCAGGCATTGCTATTAAGCTGCCTTACTCTACTGAAGGTAAAGCTACCTTAACCACTGTTCTGCGATTTATTGCTCAGATTGCAGGAGAGCCATTTGGCCCACCCTCGGACAGTTCAGCTGTTGCTCAAGGAGAGAATGCAAGGATCCTTCGTCTTGCTTCTCTGCTCCTTGCTTCTTTTTAAAGCCCTTTCCTCCAAAAGTCACACCTTGATGTTCACCATTTGTAGGCCTTTGTTAGTTTTTCCTCACAGTTCAGCTGTTGTTTTGTAGCAGTCATTAGCTTGTCAGTCAGAAGAAGCAGCTTCTAAAAAGTTCTGCCTGCTGGGTGGAAAAAGTCACCCATCTCCTTTTGACCTCCTGAAATATGAGCCCCTTCACTGTCCCCAATATTTGTTTTGTTGATGGTTTATTTTCCAAGATGTCTTACTGGCACACTTTAAACCCTTTATGGGGCACTGCTTGTTTGAAAATACAGCCCTGTTTTTAAAAAACAACAACACTCCTCCTGCACAAGTTTCCGTGTCAGAAAAAAAACCATGGTTTCCACATGGTGAAAGATTTTAAGAACATAAGAAGAGAAACCTGCTGTATCGGACCAGTGGTCCATCTGGTCCAGCATCCTGTTTCACACAGTGGCCAACCAGTTACAATGGAGGACCAACAACAGGGCTTGGAGACCAAGGCTGGGAGAACTTTTAACAAGCCGCAAACATCTGGAGAGGTCTAAATACTCTTCAGTAACACCCACCACACCCAAGGCTGTGTTCACACGAACATAAATAGCTTTAGGTATTGAATTTGAGACAGAAGTAATTCCAGGAAGCTGGGGAAGAGGCAGCAGGTTCTTTCATTTGTTCCTGCAGGAGTTTTGTTTGTAGACTTGCCAGTCATAAGAAGGGATCAAGCTGCCTTACACGAAGGTCCATGCAGCCCTGTATTGTCTCAGTGGACCATCAGTAGCTCCTTGGGGTCTCAGGCAAAGTTCTTTCCCACCCTTTCTACCTAAAATCCTTTAGCTGGAGATGCCAGCAGTTGAACATGGGCTTCCTTATGCAGAAGACATGCTCTGTGGCTGAGCTATGGCCTTGTCCCTGGCAATCACTATGTCCCTGTGTTTCTCAAAAAAAAAATCACTGTAAACCTTCTATACAGAACTCACACAGTTTTTAAAAAGCATGACGTGTGATGGGAAGCAGTGTTCCCTCTAAGCTGAGTTAGTGTAAGCTAGCTCACAGTTTTTTAGCCTCCGGCTCACACATTTTTGCCTTAGCTCATAAAGAATGGCCCCAGAGGAAACTAATTTATGCAGTAGCCAAATCACCTTCTCACAACTTTAATGCCAGTAGCTCACAAAGTAGAGTTTTTGCTCACAAGACTCCACAGCTTAGAGGGAGCATTGATGGGAAGGGGTATTTTGTGTGTGTAGAAGAACATCAGCAATACAAAGCACTGTTCCCTCACAAGAGGACTACATTTAATGACATTATGGGAGGATACCCCGGACATTCGCTTCTGCTTGCCGCTGCACAAAAAGGCATGTCCTGGAAGGGCTCTACTCCTATTAAAACTACCAGAATTATTGCTTCTCTTTCTTTGTTCACTTCACCACCTCTCCCACTATCAACAGTACAGAAGTCAGAGTGTTAAGGATGTGAAGTGCATTTATTTCACTGACATAACCGTTCGTGTGAACATGGCCTGACTCTCAATCCACAGCAAGCAGCAGAACTCTTGTTTTCATTTCCCAAAGGCTGGGAGAGCCCCAGGTTTCATCACAGTGCAGCACTAGGAATCAGCCCTTCTGGAAGAGGCAACCCCAAATGCTCAAACAGAGGAGGCATGAAAAGGTTAGCATTTACGCCTGCTAGCCGGGCCCCACCCAAGTCCCTTTCCAACACTCAGAGTCCTACTATTAGCAGAAAGAGCTGCTGCCCCGGAGCCACCAGAAATCAGGCTGAGATGTCATGGAGCAGAGGAGTGAACTGAAGGGACCCTGGAGAGTGAAGAGAAAAATGACTGAGACTCTCCCACTGGGACAGAAAAGCAGGGTTTGTAGGCTGGAATGGGTAAGGAGATGAGACAGACCAAAAGGGACTGGATTCTTCCAGCGTCAGAGTGGCTAAAATAAAGGGGGGGGGAAGAGCTCCAAGTAGGCCAGTCCTGAGCCTAAGTAAGAACTACCAGCATGAGTTAGAGGAAGAACTGGAGATGCCCTAAGAGGCCTTGGCTCTATACAGAGTCCACAATAGAGGGCAACAGTCACTGAGAACAAGGAAGGAATTTGCTTGTGAAGTTCTAATGGTCCCAGTACTGCACAAAAGTACTTGTGTAGATATCTTTTTCTAGACCAATGTTATTCTAGAGCAGAGGTCCTCAATGTGAACACCACGGAACCTGCTGTGGGCAGCGTGAAGTCGGGCTTTTGCCCAGCAAGGCTTCTGATTGGCCATTGCAGATCCGATTGACTCTGCATAATTTTAAAAGCATTGCTTTGGCAGCAGTTGCCACTACAGCACAAGGATCTTCACTGTTTGGTGTGGTGGTTAAGTGCGCGGACTCTAATCTGGGAGAACCGGGTTTGATTCCCCACTCCTCCACTTGCACCTGCTGTTGTGACCTTGGGTCAGTCACAAGCTCTGGCACAGCTGTCCTTGAAAAAGAGCAGTTTGTGTCAGAGTTCTCTCAGCCCCACCCACCTCACAGGGTGTCTGTTGTGGGGAGGGGAAGGGAAAGGAGTTTGTAAGCCGCTCTGAGACTCCAAGTGAAGGGCGGGGTATAAATCCAATCTCCTCCTCCTCCTCCTCCTCCTCCACTGTGTGACTGAAGGTAAGCTGTGGAGGCCATTTTGTGCCTGGCTCCACCTCCTGTGGCAGCCATTTTCTGGCTGTGCCCACCAGGCTGTATCAGAATCCCAAAGGTTGGGGGGCCCTGTTCCTGAACAATTATTCCTGTTTTTCAATCTTCGGGAGCTATCATTGTAATGGTCACACAGAGCCCATGTGCCACAAGTTCCCAGCAAGAGATCTCCAGATACCTATCCCACAGCTCTCTTACACACCTAAAACTAAACTGCTGATATGGACTACTCAGAGAAAATGCTCCGGTGCTTTCCCCTCATGCCGGCTTACCAAAAATAGTTTCTTCCTCAATCTATGACTTAAAAGTATTATCACACAGGAGCTGGACCGAAGTAGCTGGTCCCTGGGGCGAAAGAACCTTCTTGCTGTTAATGTGTAGCCTATACAGCATCATGAGGTCGGTTCAGCTTTATGCTACCTGGAAAATCTGGAGCCTTGCTGCTGTTGAAGAGAGGAGAGCATGGAGCTTTCCACTGAAAAGCAGGATGCTGATAACCAGTTTATACAGGATAGAAACTACCCCCCAAAAAAAATATCCCAACCCTACTTCTACTTTTTAAACTCCCTATCTCAGTGACAATGGATGCATAGGCCAAATACGTTGACTATCTGGGTTACATGTTTGCTTACAGCATCACTGCTAGTGGTCCTAACAGAGGGGGCGTAACCATGGGACTCGTGTGGCCATGTGATTGGCCATTGCATACTTCACTGCTGCAACCTGGAGTCCAATCACATAGTAATAGTTTATGAGTGGCGACCACATCTCCTACTTAGCATACAAACCCAGCCTGAACCAGCTCCCTTTGCCAAGGAGTGTCAGAAAGTTATCTACAGGCCATCATCAGTCCACGCAATACCAGTTAGATCTAGTGGTCTGAGGTAAATGGTAGGCTCTTACCTTGGAATTATCTGAGGTGGTTGCTGCAGTATTAGCCACACTGCTTCTACGGCTGCCAGCCACCGCCAAGGCAGAAGGGCTTGGCGACTGGGGTCTGCTAGGAGTAGTGTGCCAATAATCGCCTGTAGATGGGGCACTAGGCCGGTCCATGAGCTCATCCACGCTGTGACTGCTCCGCAGAGGAAACGGTCTAAACAAAAAGGGAAAGGATGATAAAGGGTCATGACTGTGGGGAGGGGAGTCCTGACAATGATTTTGTGGGAGCTGGCGCAGGGACTTGGCTAGGAGTGTGAGTCAAAAATTGTGGGTTCAATGCTAATTTCAGCACCAAGCTACACCTTATATGAAAAACTGATAACCTTTTTGAAACTGGAGTACAGGAGGAGGAGATCAGGCATGCAGAAAGGGCACTAACTATTTCCCTGACTGATTTTTCATTGCCTGAATGCCCTGCAATGGATTTTCTCCTTGGAGGAACAGGTACAAACTGGTCCATGGTGTGTGTCTGCACCTGTGTGAGAGACTGGGAGTAGATAATCAGACGGATATGGTTGCCAGTCCCCCCCCAGGCACCAACTTGGAAGGGGGTAGGGCAGACTCCACCTCCTGTGGCAGCCATTTTACAGCTCCGCCCACTACACTGTGTCAGTATTCGAAAAGTGCCCACGGGCTCAAGACGTTTTGGGACCTCAAAAAACAAATGTCTGGAACACTGGTGGGGGGGGGCATAGCAGAGGAGAGAGAAATTAGGAGAAGGAAAGCAACAGGCAAAGAGTTACACTCAAAATCATCACCTCCTGAAGCTGCTTTTCATGAAGAAAAGCGGGTATTATAAACACATGGCATTCAAACTTAAAACTGGCCAGAACTATTATTTGAAATGACAGACAATTGGAACTGACCTTGATATCTAATAACACTTGCTGAGGTCTGGCTCATCTCTGCCCCACCTTCCCAGCATCATCCTTCCCCCAGCCCTGAAACCTACTCCTCCTGAATTGTGACACACCTTGCTATCTACTGGTGGACCTCCTGATGGCACCTGGTATGTTTTGGCCACTGTGTGACAGAGTGTTGGACTAGATGGGCCACTGGCCTGATCCAACATTGGCTCCTCTTATGTTCTTATCTACCTTCCCTTCCTCTCCCATGTCAATGCAGTAGGCAGAAGTGTGGCTTCTGTAACGGCAGCAACTGGTAACTGAGTGACATTGCTTGCTACCCACTGCAGCCTTAATGGCTACGTTTGCCAGGAAAGGTGCCCTGCCTGCTCCAAAAAGAGGCTGGCCCTACACTGGACAAGGCTCCATATGAGAACAAAGACCAGCACATGTGAACTTCAGAATGTATAGAGATCAAGTTCACGTTACCTGGCAGTGGTCTCCTCAGGTTCTCTCACCTCCTCCAATGGCTTCACAAAAGCTTCAGGAAACCAGCCACTCCTAAAACCAAGGACATATGGCAAGATCAGCCAGGCTTTTTCAAAAAATAAGTAGTACGTTTTCATTTTGCCAAATAGCGCCATGTGTTGCACATGATGCCCACCCCATTTTTTTCCCTTTACAACAACCCCATGAGGACAGAGAGGCCAAGAGTGGGCAGCCCAGGGGCACCTGGGAGTTCCATGGCTAAGCAAGGATTTGAAACATCTTTTAACAACTACACCACATGGGTTTTCAAGGAGAAAATTCTCAAATTCCACATATGGAAAGGATGATAAAGGGTCATGACTGTGGGGAGGGGAGTCCTGACAATGATTTTGTGGGAGCTGGCGCAGGGACTTGGCTAGGAGTGTGAGTCAAAAATTGTGGGTTCAATGCTAATTTCAGCACCAAGCTACACCTTATATGAAAAACTGATAACCTTTTTGAAACTGGAGTACAGGAGGAGGAGATCAGGCATGCAGAAAGGGCACTAACTATTTCCCTGACTGATTTTTCATTGCCTGAATGCCCTGCAATGGATTTTCTCCTTGGAGGAACAGGTACAAACTGGTCCATGGTGTGTGTCTGCACCTGTGTGAGAGACTGGGAGTAGATAATCAGACGGATATGGTTGCCAGTCCCCCCCCAGGCACCAACTTGGAAGGGGGTAGGGCAGACAGCTCCAGGTTTGGAAACTCCTGGAGATTTGGAGATGGAGCCCGGGGAGGACAGGAACCTCAGTGTGGTATAATGCCATAGAGTTCACCCTCCAAAGTATCCATTTTCTGCAGGGAAACTGATCCTTCTAGTCTGGAGATGAGCTGTAATTCCAGAAGTCCCCCAGGCCCCACCTAGAGGCTGGCATCCCTAGATGGGGAAATAATAAGTATTCTTTTCTTTCTCTGTGCTCCCAACACTTCTTGGAGATTTTGAGCAGAGAGATGGCATCTGTGTTTGTGCATAATCCCTACCAATTGCTTAATCATGCACACCACATGCCACCTCTCCCTCTCCACCCTCCACAAAGGGTTCCAAATGTATTTTACCCTCAAAAAACAAATGTCTGGAACACTGGTGGGGGGGGGCATAGCAGAGGAGAGAGAAATTAGGAGAAGGAAAGCAACAGGCAAAGAGTTACACTCAAAATCATCACCTCCTGAAGCTGCTTTTCATGAAGAAAAGCGGGTATTATAAACACATGGCATTCAAACTTAAAACTGGCCAGAACTATTATTTGAAATGACAGACAATTGGAACTGACCTTGATATCTAATAACACTTGCTGAGGTCTGGCTCATCTCTGCCCCACCTTCCCAGCATCATCCTTCCCCCAGCCCTGAAACCTACTCCTCCTGAATTGTGACACACCTTGCTATCTACTGGTGGACCTCCTGATGGCACCTGGTATGTTTTGGCCACTGTGTGACAGAGTGTTGGACTAGATGGGCCACTGGCCTGATCCAACATTGGCTCCTCTTATGTTCTTATCTACCTTCCCTTCCTCTCCCATGTCAATGCAGTAGGCAGAAGTGTGGCTTCTGTAACGGCAGCAACTGGTAACTGAGTGACATTGCTTGCTACCCACTGCAGCCTTAATGGCTACGTTTGCCAGGAAAGGTGCCCTGCCTGCTCCAAAAAGAGGCTGGCCCTACACTGGACAAGGCTCCATATGAGAACAAAGACCAGCACATGTGAACTTCAGAATGTATAGAGATCAAGTTCACGTTACCTGGCAGTGGTCTCCTCAGGTTCTCTCACCTCCTCCAATGGCTTCACAAAAGCTTCAGGAAACCAGCCACTCCTAAAACCAAGGACATATGGCAAGATCAGCCAGGCTTTTTCAAAAAATAAGTAGTACGTTTTCATTTTGCCAAATAGCGCCATGTGTTGCACATGATGCCCACCCCATTTTTTTCCCTTTACAACAACCCCATGAGGACAGAGAGGCCAAGAGTGGGCAGCCCAGGGGCACCTGGGAGTTCCATGGCTAAGCAAGGATTTGAAACATCTTTTAACAACTACACCACATGGGTTTTCAAGGAGAAAATTCTCAAATTCCACATATGATAATAAGATAAAAGGTACTGGGGCTTGGCATTTTTATCCCATAAGCCTTGAACCCTGCTTTAAATGTTACAAGCTTTATACTTCAACCCAACAATAGACACCTAGATGTATATATAACAATATTCTAGTGCCAATCTACACAAAAATAAAGCCCCCCCCCCCGTGGCAGGGGAGAGGAAATGGCTGTCAAGAGGACAAGGTCAAGGACAACGGCTGCCATATGTGTTGGAAAATCCAAATTTTCTGACAGCAGCCATTCCAGCTTTATTGCAATCTTTCCCAAAACTTCAAGACAAAGCAAGTTTGAGAAAGACTGAAAAGCTAGGAAAACACCCAGAGGTACACAATTACACCATGATGCTGTATGGAAGCAGAAAAAAAGAATGCCTCCCAAAAGCATTGCACTCAGGGCAGAGAACCTGTGCCCAAATGGCCACTGTCTCTAAAGAAAGGCAGAGGGATTTAGTGCCTACGGCTGGGATTCTTGACTCATCTGGGTTCCCTTAAGCCAACCTGATTGCGTGATTTGAAGACCAGAGCACCTGCCTCTCTTGGGCTGTGTAAGTGTTTCTTTATGTTTTGTGTTTGACAGGAAAACCTCACTATAAGGTGAAAAATGCCTGTAATTCTTTTCGTATTTAGTTTTCTAATAAATACAGTTTAACAATGACAATTATGTTTGACTCTCCCTTTCACCATATGGAAACTCAATACAGTAAGAGCCCAATTTGAACTGATCAGTTAAAGTCCCCCGGAAAGGAGGAATCCGCTTGGTCAGCATTACCTGAAAAGAGGGATCTGAGGCACTCACCCAAGAACTCTCTCAGCCCAGTACAATTCCATGGACATGAATCTGAGTACACTTACGTGGATGTCCCTTCCAGCCTGCCATAAAGCCAGCCATTTTGTGCTTCCGGTATCAACACAATAACTACGTCTCCAAGGCCAAACTGCAAAAGAGTCCGGTTGGAACCAGCAGAGTGAGGTGCTATTGTTCGGACTTTCAGCACATTATTGTTGCTTTCCTCTTTGCTCCCCACTTCTTTCCCTTCTCCTGCCTTCTCTCCAAAGGAGCTAGAACGAGAACGTTGGCCGGTAGAGAGAGAACCTGCAAGAGACAGAATAACTGAGCAAAGCCATTGTATTGGTTGATGCCTTATCAACTAGGAAATGGGACAGTTCCACACAGATTTGTCCACATACATCTCAAAGACCCTCGACTTGCTCTGGATATTCTCTGAGTATGACCAATTACTATATTTAGGCTACATGCTTATCCAGCTTCACTGCCCTAACTGAACATAACAGCCTCACCTACATATACAAGGCTTCTGTGGGAAATGTTTCTTGGTGGAGATTCCTTATCACCCATTAGATGGGACATGCTGGAAGGGCTGTTAGTCCCCCTCCCCTTCCTTACTAGCAGAAGAAGTCCTTGGCAGGGATCTCCTCCTTGGTTCTGCCTGAGGGGAAGGCATAATTTCCACTGTCTCCTGGGGGAAGGGGCTGGAGCTTCTTCCTGTCACCAGTGTACTGAATTCACCCACAGTTCTCTGAGGCTGGAATGAAACAAATAAGGCAAAAGCACTTCATGGGAAATGTACTGTTTTTCAGTTAAAATGTCTCCCCATAACAGAGACCCAAAGAGGTGTACAACAGAAATTAAGACTATAAATACAAAAAACACAATATACATGAAAACAAAGATTAAAACCAGAGAGCAGCTTAGCACTGTCTGACATCCATTCCCAACACTCTCAAGAAAGCTGTTCCACAATATAGGAACTGTACCACACACGCACAAAGCCCCAGATAAGAGAAAATCATAAAGAAGGATACACCTCAAAAATGTATTACAAATGCCTCCGAAAGACACACTAACATCCTTTCTGTCAGAATATTGGTTGGACTAACTGAATGTAACACTGGAAGATGAGCAAGTCTGCATATTTTTTTAGAAATAGAAATAGCAAACTCTTCTTATTCTCTGCTAGGCTTCAGCCTTCACCTGTGCCATTTTCCCAACCCAAAAATGGCTTTGGGAGAGCAATATTTGCCCTATGAGAGAGCTTCACTTGCAGTATTCATTGCCCCTGTGCTGCAGTCCCAATACAAACTGGACCCCACCCCCCTGGCCAATGCTTGGGAACTTAATTCTTGGTAGCTGTAGTCTGAGTGTGAGAGGATCAGCGTTAGTTTGGGGAATCTTGACTTGACTTGTGGCAAAAACATATCATCTAGTTTTGCTCTTAGCAGAGACCACAACAGATCACAACTGATAGAAAAATTTTTATTCCATGAGACAATGCCCCAAATTGTCCCACAACGTTTTAAAAAAACCTTTTCCTCAGGGGAAAAAGATTACCGCTTTCTATGGTAAGTTACAGAGAACTCTGAGCTGTCAGCAAGTGGTTTGCCCTGAAGCTTACCAGAAAAAAGTAGTAAATCCTTTTGATGAACTTTTCATGCTTGAATCACATTTTTGGCAATCTGATGCATTGCTACATAGAACTTTTGCACATGTCACGTGTTTCTGGTTTTATTTTGTTTTGCAAGTTGGTGCAGCCCTCTCTGTGTTCATTTCCACAGAATTTCAATCCTACTTTGGCAGCTTTAACCACTAGAAATCTGTTTTTCATTTCAAAACATTAGAGTCTCAGGATCCTGTACTTGTATGGGGTGACTACGGAATGGTTCAAAACATAAGCAGCCAAGGAATGTAGTGGTTGTGTTTCTGGACAGGCAGCAACATCTCAGTGCAGTGAGGGCTGCCTCTTGCTTGGCTCCAGCAAGCAACGATTCTGGGGCCCCATCCCGGACTTTGGCTCAGGGTCCCAGAATCACTAAGACCTCACCTGATAGACCGCACCGTGGAAAGGCAGGCTATAAATATGTTAAATAAATAAATGATACCATGAAAAGAACTGATGTTGTTTGCCTCTTTTCCTGGGCAATTCTACATCACAGCCCGTTTTGTCAGGTATCAATTCTCACAAAGGGCTATGGGTTACTTTCACATTCCTTACCATCTCAAGGTGGGTAGGGGTCAGGCGGCCTGATGGGAGACCTTGGCTGTGGGGAGTGCTAAGCAAGGTCGGGACAGGATTGCGACTGGCCTCCAGCTGCTCCTTCCATAATGGTGACTTGTTCTGGATGATGCCCCGGGACTTAACAGGAGTAAAGAAAACAAATGGAGTCAACAAACTGAGGAAGCTTAAAGTAACGACCACCAGTCCTTTTTAAAGGATTAGGAGGAATTGGGTCAGGCCTCACACATTAACAAACATGTCTGCACTTCAATGTGTGAAAGCAGGGCTTTTTTGGTAGAAAAAGCCCAGCAGGAACTCATTAGCATAATAGGCCACACCCAATAGCAGAAACCTATTGGCATATTAGACCACACCCCTGACAGCACAGCTCATTAGCATATTAGGCCACAACCCATATGTTACCAGAAGTGTGGTCATCCAACCACACCCACCTTTTGCTTCATATTCTGTTTACTTTGTTGTCAAAACCCTGGGCTTTTTTTGTAGCAGGAACTTCTTTGCATGTTAGGCCACACACCCCTAATATAGCCAATCCTAATGAGTGTCTGCTGTTAGGTGTGGCCTATTATGCTAATGAGTTCCTGCTGGGCGTGGCCAACTCAGGAGCCAGCCGGAACTCCGTTCTTGTGCGTTCCTGCCCAAAAATAGCCCTGTGTGAAAGGATCGGATCCTTTTCCTTGCAAGGCAATAACTACGGTCATCACAAACATAATCCCAGGAACAGGGTTTACCCCGTGTTCTCTTGTCCCTCATAATACACCAACAGCTTGGTTGATAGCCTGGGCTGGAGAAAGCCATCACCCCAGCCAACAGCAGCAGGGGACACATACTGACTCATCTCAAATTCCTCTTAGGTGGCATTTATTTAATTCTTTAAAATATGTATATTTTACTTTTCTTTAGAACTATATCTGAAGCAGGCTACAGCCTAAACAATAAAATATCAACAAAACCAATAAAACATCAGAGACAAAACCAACAGGCAAATAATGTGGTTACAGCAGAACATCTCATTTTAAAATACTTGCTAACCTCCAAGAATTACAACTGATCTCGAGACTGCAACGATTAGCTGCCCTGGAGGAAATGGGAGCTTTGGAGGATGGACTCTATGGCAGGATACTGTGTTGAGGTCCCTTCCTTCCCCAAACCCCGCCCTCCCCAGGCTACGCCCCCCAAAATCTCCAAGTATTTCCCAACCAGGAGTTGGCAACCCTGTCTTAAAAACATGATCATTTCATAAATATCCTTAAGCAGTTTTTAAAAGAGCCTGTAAAATCACAAACTACTAATATTAGGGTAGGGAAACTAACTTGAAGCGCAGGCTAAAAGAATGGAGAGAATAAAAACATCTTTGGTGTAGTGGTTAAGAGCGCAGACTCTACCCTGGGAGAACCGGGTTTGGTTCCCCACTCCTCCACTTGCGGCTGCTGGTGTGACCTTGGGTCAGTCACAGTTCTCTCAGACCTAAAAAAAAAGGTTCTTGAAAGAGTTCTCTCAGCCCCACCTACCACACAGGGTGTCTGTTGTGGGGAGGGGAAGGGAAAGGAGATTGTAAGCCGCTCTGAGACTCTTTCGGGCAGGGAAGGGCAGGGTATACATCCAATCTCTTCTCTTCTCCTTCTCCTTCTTTGTTTAGAGCTTACAGGAGCATAAACAAGCCAAGCCTCTGTGTGGGAAGGATTTCACAAGTGTCACCTCACCACTGAGAAGGCCCCGTCTCTGGTGCACTCCCATCTTGATTCCAAAGGCTGAGACACACAAAGCACAGTCTCCAGTTATGACCTCAGATACATACAGAAAAAGGTAATGAAGGTCCCAGGCTGTGTAGAGCTTTATAAGTCAACACCAGCACTATGAATTGTGCACAGAAGCAAACTGACAGCCATTAGGGATCTAACTTTTGGGTACCAGCATTTCCCCCCCCCCCCAGAAATCCTGTAACTTGAGGTTCAACACTCACTAAAAAAATGGGAGGATCCTGTTGACTTAAGGAATGTTCAATTTTGCAAGTTAATCCAATCTGGAAGAAGTATTTCCCCCCCCCCCCCATTCAAAGAGTTCTCCATTATCAGATATCCTGTCATATTCTGCCTCCTGAGTTGAGGAGTGATGTTCCTCTGACACTATATATAAAAGGTTTAGAAAATGAAGATTAAATGCCAACTCACACCCAAAATTTGCATTTGGAACAAAGTTTGCAAAATGGATATGCCAGCATTTATTATATACATGGCTTGATTATGTTGCTTGTTTTAGTACCAGGCTTTCTTATTTTATCATGTTAAAACAGGAATTTTCTTTCTAGATCTTTTGCCAAGAACCAACATATACAGCCTTGGGCAACAAAGGCTGGAATGCCTCAGATTTCAGAGAGAGAGAAATCTATAAGACAGGGGGAAAGGAGGACTGGCCATCAGATAGCATTACCAACCTCCAACAACAGAGATCAGTTTCTCCTGGAGGAAGCGGCAGCTTCAAAGGATGGACTCTCTGGCGTCACCCCACCACCACCAGGCTCCCTCCTCTGCCCAAACTCTGCCATCCTGAGGCACCACCCCCACATCTCCAGGAATTTTCCAAGCCAGAGTTTCAACCCTTCCACCATGGCAAAGAACCAAAAGCTGTGTTGACTACAGGTCTCATTATCTAGAAGAAGGGAAGAGAAGAAGAGATTGGATTTATACCCCGCCCTGCACTACCTGAAGGAGTCTCAGAGCGGCTTACAATCTCCTTCCCCTTCCCCTCCCCACAACAGACACCCTGTGAGGTAGGTGGGGCTGAGAGAGCTCTTTCAAGAACTGCTCATGAGAGAACAGCTCTGAGAGAGCCATGACTGACCCAAGGTCACACCAGCAGGTGCATGTGAAGGAGTGGGGAATCAAGCCCGATTCTCTCAGATAGAGTCCATGCTTCTAACCACTACATCAAACTGGCTCTTTAGCTGCTGGAAGCCCCAACCATTCTCTGGTTTCTGCACTTTTAGAAAAATAACTCTAAATATTTTCTTTTAGGTTTCCCCCAGGGCTAGAAAGTTGCTGCCTTTCAAATCTGAAAGGGAGGGTACTCAAGGTTTTGCACATGATATGGCATTCTCCTTTAAGTATCCTTTCCCATTATTATCATTCATTATTATTATAGTCTGCTTTTATACCACACATTATACCACTCAGGGCAGTGCAGAACAAAACCGAAATTGTATCATACAGTTTAAAACAGATAAAAGTCACAGTGAAATTCCATAATAACAAAATTCCTTCATTCCATAGTAGCAATACAGTTTAAAAAACAAATGGCAATCAAAATCCCAATTGTGCTACCACCTTGCGGGTGTGTGTGTGTGTGTGTGTGAGAGAGTGCTGGCCAGGTGGACACTGTCACTGTCCTCAACTAAATGCCTGGCGGAACATCTCTGCCTTGCAAGCCCTGTGGAACTGTAGTAAAGTCCCGCAGGACATAGATGTTACTCAGTAGAGAGTTCCTCCAGGTTGAGGCCAGAGCCCTAGGCCCTAGTTAAAGACAGCCGGATTTCTCTCAGGCTGAGTCACCATGCTTTAGTCATGAGTCACAGTAATGAACACACTTCACCTATGGATATAGCCAGGAGCCATTGGCTTTCGTCCTTTATGGAAAGACAACCAGCCATGGGCTTCCGCTTTCCCTCTATCAGAAGGTATCTCACCAGACTCCCTTTGATGTCAAATCAAATTTTCACCAAATGTGAATATGTCAATAGCTAGATTTCTTCTCTCTCACCCCCCCCCCATAGGACATCTGCCTCTCCTCACCCTGGTATAGAACTGAAGGAAGGTATTGGAGAGTAGATGGTGCTTCTCTGCTAGAAAACGATAGCGGCGTTTCTCCTCCAGCTCAGCAGCCTGTTGACTCTCACTGACAAAAGCTTGCATCTCCGTGTGCAAGAGCATCATGTTCTCCTGGAGTTGGGTGTGGGAGAAGGAACACAAATCAGCTGGCTTTCTGAACAGGAAATTGCTATTAGGCCATCCGACTATTCTGCAGGGATGTCTGGATCCTAGCTGCTCAAGAGAGCTGGCTGTGTGGAAAAGTAATGATCCAGTAACTCCTTCACTGGCTGTTTCCATTTTTCAGTCTGCAATGAGGTGTGTGTGGAAAATTTACCTCATAGCAGTCAAAAAGATCATAACAAATTAATTAGCTGGCCACTTGGCTATGTGGCCATGTGGCCAGTTGATACAAGCAGGGCCAACTTATTCATTAGGGACAATAGGCACATAATACTTTCAGGGGCCCACAAAAATGTTTTAATTTCTTTTAAAATCAAAATTTAAAAAATGAACTTTTAGGGTCGTAGAAAATGTTGATTTTTCTCTCACATCAGAAAAGAATGAAATTTTTAGAACCCATGAAAATCTATTAAATTTTGCCTAAAACTGGGAGGATAAAACGTTGACGTATTTTAAGTTATATCAAAAATCATTTTTAATATTGATATTATTTTGGTGGGAGAGGTCTACAAAGGCAAAAGTGCCTGGGGTCCATGAAAGTCATAATGTGGCCCTGGATACAAGCACTGAAAATGATGCCTAAATAAAACCTGGCTTTCTGCCTGAAACGGATATGCAGGTCGGAGTTCCACGCAAACCAGTCTTTTGTGAAATGTGATCCTAGGTTTGCAGTGTGCCAGTGTCAGACATGCTGTCCATCTCCCCTCTCTGAACTTTCTTTAGTCTCTACATTATCCCCCACCTTCATCTCTCGGGCATTCTTGTCTCCCATTCTCTCCACTCTCCACAGGTCTGACATGCATTTGTCGAGGTTGGCAGCTCTCCGTCGGTATTCCTTCTCATATCGCTGGCGGCTGTCCTATGTACAGGCATAGCAAAGAGAGAAAAGCCTGAACTCAGGGCTGAAGAGAACACAAAAACCCACTTGCTGCAAATCAGATGGAATGCAGGAAATCTATGATCAGAAGCATCTCTTGATTTTTGTTTTAAGTCCGCATGGTCAAAGAAGCAATGGTATTCCCAGTAGTCATGTATGGCTGCGAGAGTTGGACTATAAGGAAGGCCGAGCGCCGAAGAATAGATTCTTTTGAACTATGGTGCTGGAGAAGACTCTTGAGAGTCCCCTGGACTGCAAGAAGATCAAATCAGTCAATCCTAAAAGAAATCAACCCTGCCTGTTCCCTGGAAGGCCAGATAATGACACTGAAGCTCAAATACTTTGGCCACCAAATGAGAAGGGAGCACTCACTGGAGAAGACCCTGATGCTGGGAAAGATTGAAGGTCAAGGAAGAAGGGTCAAAGAAGGATAAAATGGTTAGACAGTGTCATCGATGCAACGAACATGAAATTGAGCCAACTTCAGAGGACGACGGAAAACAGGAGGGCCTGGCGTGATCTGGTCCATGGGGTCGCGAAGAGTCGGACTCGACTGTGCGACTGAACAACAACAACAGAGCAACAGCAGAGGGGCAAATAGGTCTGGGGAGGCAGCACTGGGAGGGAAGGGGTATTAACCTTTCCCTCAACCATCTTCCAGCTTTAATCCTCCTCCCCCCTTGCCTCTATTGCTGGGTGGAGTTCCCACATTCCTAGGTGGGGCTCCAAAGAAATTAGTGATCATAGCCAACAGAAACTTAAACCGTTATGTTTCCAAGTTATGTATTTAACATCTCTTAACTGAAATATTATTGTCCATTGTCACCAGACCTAAGTCACGTATATTTTAGAATCTGAAAGGTTAGTGAAAGATATATACTGAATAACAGTACTCAAGTTCAGAATCATTACCTACTCATAACAAACACTTTCCTTAAACAAATACCTTTAAACTATCTCTTATATATATTTTAAGAGCCCTGCCATGGTGAAAATAGTAAAGTTTCCCCCCCAAGATCACTTCAGTATCAAGAGATGCAAGAGGTTCTTCCAGTGGGGAAGTGAGGAATCCCTCGTGCACCAAAGAAAATTCACTCTGCTGGGACAAATTATCCATGGGATCCAACTCTGCATGTTTGAAAAAAGATGTGGGAGGAATGGCTACTCAATCTGCTTGTACAACTGAGTCTAGTAGCACCAGATGTTCTACCGTAGACCAATATGGCTATCCTCTGAATCAATCTTTTTGGGCAGGATTACTATAAAGCAGTGTGAGATGCACAAGAGCAACTACAGCAAATACTCTTAAATTCTAGGGCTTTTTCCCGCAAGTTAAATCTTAATTATATCCAAGAACAGAAGTTAAACTCTTGTTGCCTGCCTCTCACTGATATAAATCCCACACCCACTAAAATCTGAAATGGCCGTAGAATGGCAGCCATATTGTGCTCCATGGGTAATTCAGTTCTGTACAGAACTCAGGGGTCATTTCGTAGAAAAAGAGGCGCAGGAGCTCATTAGGATAACATTAGCACAACTTGTTTGCATATGCCACACCCCCTGACATCACCGGAAGTGTGTCAGAAGGCAACATCCACCACTCAGGCTCCAACTGGACTTTGTATTGCTAGCTATGCGGGGGGGGGGGGGGGAGGGAGACACCGCCCCCCCGAGCGCGCCTCCAGCCAGGCGCCGCGCTCGGCGGGCGGGGGGAGGGGCGGGGTGGGGGGGGGGGGGGGGGGGGGGGGGGGGGACAGGCAGATCTGCCCTCACAGAGGAGGAAGACCTTGTACCTGAAGGTGGGGGGGCTCTGCAACTTACCTGGTTGCTTCTTGCTCCTTGTGGCCCAACTGAGGGCTGCTGGGAGTAGGGGGTGGGGCTTGTTGCATGTGCCCACCCCCTGGGCTCCTTTCTGCCGGAGCTCCACTCCTGTGCGCTCCCGCAGGAAATGACCCCTGACAGAACTGCCTAATCCACAGCAGGGTGTATGGCAGCATATTCTGTAATTTTCCCTAGCCTCCACTGGGAGTGAGGATGGAGGTAGGTGTGGGTTAATTAAGTGCCTAGTTCACCCATAACAGGAATGGCTATGCTATAGGCAAAGGCAACTTCTATGCAGGCAATGATATTCCCAGAAACAGAGCAGACGCGTGAGGCTCACGCGTAAGATGGGCAGAAACAGACTAAGAGTCGGCCTGACACTCACATTGATGAACTGCATGTCCAGTTTGGTGTTTTTTTCCATTTGCTGCAGTAAGTCCACATGGAAACTCTGGGCCTGCTCAAAAGAAGGAAATAATTAGAAACCACCACACCTCTTGCTCACATGGCTAAACAACTAGATATTGCAACAGAGCAATACTATGCGGAATTGCTCCCATCTGAGCCTACTGAGGGTCAGAGTAGGGCTGCCAGACGCAGCAATGTCATCAGTGCTGCTAGAGGAAAACCCCGGAAATGACATAAGAAGAGCCCTGCTGGATCAGACCAATGGTCCACCTAGTCCAACATCCTGTCTCACACAGTGGCCAACCAGTTCCTCTGGACAACCAACAACACCAGATAGAGGCCGAGGTCTTCCCCTGATGTTGCCTCCTGACTTTGGGATTCAGAGGTTTAGTGCCTCCAAATGTGGAGGTTCCCCTCAGTCATCATGGCTAGTAGCCACTGATAGACTTATCCTCCATAAATCTATCAAATCCTCTTTTAAAGCTGTTTATTCCTGTGGCCATCACTACATCCTCTGGCAGCGAATCCCATATTTAAATGACTCACTGTGTAAAGAAGTATTTCCTTTTGTCTGTCCTGAATCTACTGCCCATCAGCTTCATTGGATGCCCTCAAGTTCTAGTTTTTTGGGAGAGGAAGAAAAAGTTCTTTATGTCAACTCTCTCTACCCCATGCACAAACCTCTACTGTGTCCCCCCTTAGATGTCTCTTTTCTAAACTGAAAACTCCTAGACTCTTCAGCTTGTCTTCATAAGTCCCAGACTCTTCAGCCTTTCCTCATAAAACATAGGGTAGAGGACCTGGAAGTGACATAGGGTAGTGGACGTCCTACAACATTGTAGTCCCCATTTCCCTGTCCAATGCAGCCACCCACTGGCGTTGGGGGGGGTACCTCCTGGTATGCCACTTGCCACAGCACATCCAGACACCATGGGTGGGCAAGGAAACAGGGCTGGTTGGTGCCCCACCACCTCTGGCACCACAGGCAGTTGCTTAGGGCTACCTACTGAAAGCTCAGAAAACTCCTCCTGTCCTACAGACAGGCCCTCATCAAGTTATTTTCTCAGTCACAATTCTTTCTGCCAAGATACTTACTACTACTTCCAGGTTGCGGTTCAAGTGCATTTGAGTGTCTGACATCTGTATCAAAATTTCACCTTCGGAGAAAGCAAGAAAGTCATAATGAAAAGGTTTCCTTCTTCCACTTATCATGAGGAATTGCATTGGCAAAGCCAGCTCAATTGTGACCCATCAAGGCAAATGTATGGCATGTACCCATGTATGGCGATCCACCAGGGACAAACCACCTGGTTTTGCTATCTGGCTGGAAAGGAGGGAATAGGGGTGTTGGCAAGTACTTGGCAGGCCACAATAAATAGCTTTTTGGTGAGTCACAAGTTGTGCAGGGTCTATGGGACACATATTGATGGAGTGACTAGAGATTGTTGGGTTTGGATCATGAGGTAACAGGTTGAAACCTCTGCTCAGCCATAATTCTCATCAAGTGCCTGAGGAAAATCACTCTCCTACTAACTTACCTCAGGGGTGTTGTTAGGATGACTGAAGGGTGGATAAAGATTCCCAAAGCACTTTGTACTCTGAAAAGTCTCTCTAGAAGTGATTAAGATACCGAGGAGATAATAAAGGGCCTAATATTTAAATATCAGCTATAGATAACTCCACAGGCTCATATATCTCAGGAGAAAAGTCCAATTGTTATCATTTTATATTGATATTATCTGCATGGGATAACTTAGATAGGATGTTTAGCTTATCAGGTTCATGTGTATTATTTATGTATTATTTATTTATTGGATTTATAACCCACCCTCCCCTGCATAGCAGGGCTCAGGGTGGGTAACAACAATAAATTAGGTTAAAACCTTTAACAAACATTTACAATAATCAGTAATCTAAAATTTACAATAATCAGTAATCAATAAGATGGCACCTAAAGAGAGTACAAATAGTGCCTCGTACCTGGCAATAAGAGAGGGGGAAGAGAAGAAGATGGAAGGGAAAAGGAAGGAGGAAGTCAGCCTGGTCTAAAATCGTCACTGTCCTCAGCCATAGGTCTGGTGGAATATATCCATCTTGCAGGCCCTGCAGAACTGTATCAAGTTCTGCAAGGCCCAGACCTCGCTCGGTAGAGAGTTCCACCAGGCCAGGGCCGGGGCCGAAAAAGCCCTGGCTCTGGTCGAGGACAGCTAAACACTCTTTGGACCAGGGATCACCAGCAGGTTGTTGTCAGTTGAGCGCAGAGCTCTTTGGGTGATATACCAGGAGAGGTGGTCCCATAGGTATGCTGGTCCAAGATCGTTTAGGGCTTTAAAGGTTAATACCAACACTACTGAACCTGGTCTGGTATTCAGTCTGGAGCTAGTGCAGCTGGGAAAGCAACAGTTGTATGTGGGCTCTCTCTGGGGTTCTCTTAAGAATGCGCATCACCGCATTCTGGACCAGTTGGAGTTTCCAGGTCGGCTTCAAAGGTAGCCCTGAGTAGAGCAAGTTACAGTAGTCTAATCTGGAGGTGACCATTGCACAGATCACTGTGGCTAAGTCAGAAGGAGACAGGTAGGGGAGCAATTGCCTAACGTGGTGTACGTGGAAGAATGCCAGTCTGGCCACATGTGTGATCTGGTCCTCCACTGAAAGGGAGGTATCCAGAATTGCACCCAGACTCTTGACCATCAGTGCTGGTGTCAGTAGCACACCATCAAGAGTAGGGAGTTGGCACCTCAATCCCAGATCCCTCCGGCCCAGCCACAGACCTTCTGTATCAGATGGATTCAATTTCAGCCGAAACCGAAAGTAACCAAAAGTAGACTGCATGGGGCTAGGAAGGGTTACATGTCTTCAAAATTATCCTGCTGCTTTTCAAGGCATTTTTAAGCAGGCATTCTAGTCTGTGGCCTTCCCTCCCAAGTACTGTGCACTTAATTTAGCAGCTGAGTAAAAGCACATTTTGTATTACCCACATCTGTAATGCACTTAAGTCTCAAATTGCCCAGGAAGTATGTTTGATATTTTAAAAAAGGCTCTTATATTTTCTGTCTCACATTAACACTATTCACACTGCTGTACAAATAGCACCAGAGAGGCTCAAAGGAGCTTTTAGTGTTATACAAGAAAAGTGGGAACCCGCAAAGACTTGCAGGAGTCATCTCATTTCCCTAGGGTTGCCAGCCCCAGGTCCCAGTGGGGGTTCCCCTGCTTTGGGGAGCTTCAACCCACCGCCAGTCAGGGGAAACCCCACCCCCAAACAGTGACATCAGTGTGCAACATCCCCGACACAAGGACATCATGTGATGTCATTGCACTGGGGACATCACATGTGACATCCCGCCTACCCCGGAACGCCCCCCCCAACCCCATGCCACAATGGTGAGGAGACTGAGCAACCCCACACTTCCCACTCTCCCACTGTTTCCTCTTTCC